GTGACCGCTGGCGGCGCCGGCTGTCCCGAAGCTGCTGGGCATGAGCTCGGGGGCTGCCCCGCGGCTGCGCTCGCTCCAGCGACACCTGCAGGTAGGGCCCGGGGCTCCTGTCCCGTCCGCGTGGGGCTGAGGTCCGTGAGGGCCACACGGGGGGGAGTTGTGGGAGGACAGGGAGACCCGCTGTGTGCCAGAGGCGCACCCGTCAGTGGCTGGCGGAGAGGAGGGAGCCCCAGTGGGGTGGGAGGGGGGCCGGTCAGTGTGTCCACACCACGGCCTCACGGGGCTGGTCAGGAATTCCCCACCCCCATCCCAGCCACAGTCTGGGACTGTCCCCCTGGGGCCGTTTACTCTAAGGTGTTGCCTCATTCGGCTGGTGCGGACACAAGACATCTCTGTCCCTCTCTCCTGGCCTAGGGCAGAGGCATGGAGCCAGTCAGCAGCCCGCTGACCACACATGTGCTGGACACTGCCTCGGGGCTCCCAGCCCAAGGCCTCTGCCTCCGTCTGTCCAGGCTGGAGGAGCACGGCCAGCAGTGGACTGAGCTGAGGGAAAGGTAGGATCCTGGTCGGGGGCAGCACTTGAGTCCAGACCAGCTCCCCTCAGCACAGGGTGGGTCCTGAGCTCTGGCCTGTGACAGGAGCAAGGGGAGGGATCCCTGAAAGCCAAGGAGTGTGGCACTGAGGACTGATGGCAGAGCCCCACAGCCCCAACTCCTGGAGCTTGTCTCAGACCACGCAGCCCCAGCTGCCACGCTCACGCCCGAGGGCTGGGCTGGTTAAGGCCTGAGGATGAATCTTAAAGGCTTCGCTGTCACAGGCAGCAGGTTGAGCACTTTATTTCTGTTCTTTTATTCTTACTACACCTTAATGACCCCTTTTATAGACTGGAATACTGAGGCAGCCAAGAGGCAAGGTACAATCCACACCACACCACAGGGTGGATCCCTTGGGAAGCCTCGCTCCTACCCCATGCTTAGCTCTGCTGGGGGTGTAGGGGCGGCCAGCCCATGCTGGCATTGTAGTGCTTGGGTAGATGCTGCATCTTGAGGGAGGCAGGCTCTTCTGGAGGTGGCAGCGGGGAGCTGCGCCCCAAAGGTTCAAGGCCTGAGGATGGAACTCGTCCCCTCCCTGTTCAGCCCCTCACAAAGGCTGGGGGTCCAGGTCCCATCTGAAGGTCAGCTGTGGTTTTAGAAGAACACATGTAGTCCCTTGGGGGGGGCCACATGAACCCATTTCCAACCCCTAAAAGTGCTGGTATGTGACTGATGCTCTCTGTGACCACAGTGCAAACACACTTGCAAGCACAGCTGGTGGGATTGGTGGTCTGAGCACAACTGCATTGGGGTGCTTGGTGCATCTGGAACAGGGACTGACCCAGAAAGCCACGCACAATATATTAAATGAAAAGTCCAGGTTATAAAAGAATATGAATAGTGTAATCCATTTTATGTTTCTGTAAGTTTACCAATAAGCATACGTATGAATAGAGAAAATCTGGAAAAATATAAGTCAAATATAGTGATTATTGCTCATGGGGTAGATTGTGGGAGGTTTCCCCCCTTCCTGCTTCTCTGTACTGTACAACAGCTTCCAGAACCCCAGGTCCTAGAGTTTGTCCCAAGTCAGGCTGCAGGGGCATCTGAGGCTGTGGAGACCCAGAGAGCCAGGCAGGAGTGCACCTCATCCCCTCCCCCACCAGCTACACCAACCCGGATGGCCGCTGCCCTGGGCTCCTGCTGCCAGGCCAGATGAAGGCGGGCACCTACAAGCTGACCTTCGACACTGAGGGCTACTGGAAGAAAAGGGGGCAGGACAGCTTCTACCCATATGTGGAGGTGAGATCCATGGGCTGACAGGGAGGGTAGAGGCCTGTGATTCACCATTACCCCAAGGCCCTATAGCAGGCAGTGCCCATCCCCCTCTCCCAGGGCGCTTGCTGGCAGGCCTTGAACTCCCAGGAGAAAGGTGTCCCTGCCCTGCCCCTAGGTCAGGCTGTGTGGGGCAGGGTGGAGGGTGACTCAGCCCCTGTGGACACAAGTGTTGACCAAGCCCTATCCAACTCACTGGGCCTAACCTTGCTGCCTTCCCCTTCACCTGGCCCTGTTCAGGGTGGATCCCTTGGGAAGCCTGGCAGGCCCAGGGGCCCTCAAGCCAAGCACTTTCTCTGGAAAAGATTCAGCCTTGTCCACAGCTCTCACCAGGTTTCCAGCCCTCCACTGGGCTCTGGCTGGCCTGGGGCTCCCCAGGAACCAGCCCCCGGCCCACAGTCTGGGCTTCTGGGATCTCCCTGGGAACACTGGGGCTAGGCCCTCACTCCCTCTTGGTACCTTCTGTTCTCAGGTTGTTTTCACCATCACAAATGAGACTCACAAGTTCCACATCCCCCTGCTGCTGAGCCCATGGTCCTACACCACCTACAGAGGAAGCTGACCACCAGCTGGCCAGCGAGCACCAATGCTATCACCATGGCCTGAGCCACTCCCAACCCTCCACAGTGGGCTCTGTGCTCCGATTTCCTGGGGGAGGTTTTGGCCCCCAATTCCCCAGTGGCAGCTGTGACTCAGGCATCAATAAAGTCGGTGTGGCACCTGCAGGCTGCTATGGTCACTGGTGCTGCCCAGCCTAAGGTGGGAGTGGGAGGGTGGACGGGCTGCTGGGAGGGAAGCAAACACCCACCCATGGCCCTGGAGCTGCTTCTGCCAGTCGTGCAACAGGACACACAGCAAACATGAAAGCCTTCATTGCTGACCCAACAAATCCAAAACACACCTGCTGTCCGTGGTGTGTAAAAGGGGGTGTCATGCAGGGAGAAGTCCTGGGTGGGGGCTACGTTGGGGTGCTTACAAGTCCAGCGGGCCCCTGGCCGAGGGTCTGCCCCATCACAGCTGTTTCTAGGGGCTTGAAGCCCACATTGTCCAGGGGGATCCCAAAGGCCAGGAGCTTTGCCTCGTAGGTGCGCAGCAGGTCGTTGTGGGCCTGTAGGGACAGAGCAGTGTTGGGAGGGGCAGAGGCCATAGCAAGGGCTCACCTGTGGGCCAGGGCAACTCCAAGGCTGACCCTTGCTTAGGCCACCCAGCTCTGTGGAGGGGGTGGGGTGGAAAACCACAGAGAAGTCTGGTGGAGAGTGCAGGTGACCCCACCCATCCCGGAAGAGCTCGGGTCTGGGCAGTGGCGCTGCCAGGGCCCACGGACATGGTTTCTGTTCCCTCTGGGTGAATTTCACAGGATGACTATAAGGCTTTGAAGAGGTGATGCATCAGAAGTGCTTGGAACCTGGCTTGACTCAGAGCAAAAGCTCCAAAGGGTACATTATCCTGACCATCATCAAGAAAAGGCTTCGGGGCTTGGGGTCAAGAGTTAGAGGGTGAGCCCAGCCGGTGTGGCTCAGCGGTTGAACCAGGAGCTCACAGTTCAATTCCTGGTCAGGGTACACACCAGGGTTGTGGGCTTGATCCCCAGCAGGAGGCGTGCAGAAGGCAGCCAATCAATGATTCTCATCATTGATGTTTCCATCTCTCCCTCTCCCTTCCTCTCTGAAATCAATAAAAAAAATATTATTTTTAAAAAAGAGTGAGCCCAGCCAGGTGTGGCTCAGCAATTAAGCATCAACCTAGGATCCAGGAGATTGCAGTTCGATTCCCAGTCAGGGCACATGCTGGGGTTGTGGGCTCAATCCCCAGTCCGGGCTGTACAGGAAGCAGCCGATCAATGATGACTCTCTCATTGATGTTTCTATCTCTGTCTCTCTCTCTCCCTTCCTCTCTCTGAAATCAATAAGAATATATTGAACTGGGGTCAAGCTCCAGAGAGAACCGGAAGGCTGGGCCTGGTTCTCACCCTTCACTGGGGTACAGGCCTCCTGACAATCAGATGCAACTATGGGAATCCTCCCAAGAGCTGCACAGACCATTAGATGGCACCAATTTTGTGTGTACAAGTATCAGGGTATCAGGGCATCCAAGGGAAGGGTCCAGATGGGCATGTGAGGCGGGGGGGGAGGGGGGGGCAAGGGAAGGCCCAGCACAACAAAAGCCTTCATCTTGGGGCTGCACAGCCTAGGGCTCATGTGTGACAGAACCAGCAGGTGACGCCCACCCCACAAAACTATGGGCACATCTGAGTCACTCGTGAGGTGGCTGCTCTTGGTAAATGCATCCACAGGCAGCTCTGTGTCTGCATCTACACAGGCAAAGTCCAGACAGAGCTGTAGGCTCTGCCAGAGCCAGGGGCACTGGGTGCAGGGCACAGGCCTCTTGGGCTCATTGGACAGACAACAAGGGGGTCACGGCATTCACTGCCCCTCCCCAACTGCAGGAGGCCTTGGTGCTAATGCACATATTTGGCAAAGAAATGGCAATGCAGCTCTTGTTAGACTTACAAAGGAGTCAGAAAAGCTTAGACCTGTAACTGTGCACTGCTTGGAGGAGCATGGGAGGCCCTTCCCAGAGGCCAGGTCAACTCAGTGGTGCAACAGTGAGGGTCAGACAGGGAAACCAGCTGCCCTCCTCTACCAGAGGTGCTCCAGGCCAGCCTGTGAGGAACACCAGGGAGGGGACCTACCCCAAGCCACAGGCAGCTGGCCCTCAGTCTAAGGTAGGTATCACATGGTCCTGGGTGGGGGCTGGGCCTTGAGAGAAGGGGGGCTCCTCATACCTTGCAGACTCGGGCCAGCTCGTACTGCAGGTCCTTGATGGCACTGTTCTTTGACTCCAGAACATCCTGAGGACAAAGATGCAGATGTGAGTTTGAGACCTGTCTTTGGAACAAGCCAGACAGGGCAGCCGTGGGTCTGGTGTCTGTGGGCTCTAGCAGTGACCCAGACATCCAGGGAATAATGACCTGGCCTCATCAACGTGTGTCCACATGGGGAGCAGGCTGTGTGGAAAGGTCTCCCAGGGAAAAAGGGAGACAGCACATGCCTCCAGAAGGAGAAAGGTGCTGAGAAGCTAGAGGGGGGCAGGCCTGGCAGGCTCCAATCAGGAAAGGCAAGAGCTGACCCACACCCTGGCCCACAGGTGCAGCTGCACTGACCCTCATGGGTGGGACTGCTCTTTATTCCCCTCATCACACCACTGGTGGTTCACAAAGAAATAGGTACAAAGTCAGAGATAAGCCCCAGATCCAGGACCACAGCACTGCCAGCCCAGACAAGGCCCCTGCTATGTGCCTGCAACTACCTATCACAGGTGACTCCAGTCCCACAGGCACTGTGGATCCCACAGGCACTGTGGCCCACTAAGCCAGGACACATGCACAACCTCACCTCTGCCTTCCCCAGCCCCTCCTCAATTGGCGACAAGTCCATCCTGCCTCAGCCTTTCCTGTAGGTCTCTGTGGACTCTTGGATCCAGTCTGTCGTGCCCAGAACCTTCCACGGTCTCCCGCTGGCCCCATACTTGGGGGCACAGCTGACAGCTTCAGAATCTCCCCCACCCAGTTTGCAGCAACAAGTGCTAGCTGCAGATCTCAGCTGCAGGCTGGGTGGTGGAGGCGAGTGGCCTGAAATGCTTTAAATACAGATGTGGCCCGGCCAGTGTGGCTCAGTGGTTGAGCATCGATCAATGAACCAGAAGGTCATGGTTCAATTCCCAGTCAGGGCACATGCCCAGGTTGCCGGCTCAGTGCCCAGTAGGGGGTGTGCAGGAAACAGCCGATCAATGACTCTCATCATTGATGTTTCTATCTCTCTCCCTCTCCCTTCTTCTCTTTGAAATCAATAAAAAAAAAAGTGGTTTTTTTTTAAAAAAATGAAATAAAATAAATACAGATGTGGTGACCTGACAGGTTCATCCACTGGGCCTGGGGTGGTGTGAGCCAACAGGGCTCATGTTCAGCTGAATTGCCTGTCGAAGAATCACCTTAAAAATGCTTTCTATTGCCCTGTCCAGTTTGACTCAGTGGTTAGTGTCGGCCCGTGGACTGAAGGATCTTGGGTTCAATTCCAGCCAAGGGTGCCTACCTTCACTGCAGGCTCGATTCCCAGCCCCAGTCGGGGCACATGCAGGAGTCAACCATTCGATGTGTCTCTCTCACATTGATGTTTCTCTCTCTCTCTCCCTTCCACTCTCTCTGAAAAGCAATGGAAAGAAATAAATGCTATCTGTTGCCCTGGCCAGTGTGGCTCAGTGGTGCCAGCCCATGGACCGAAGGGCCACAGGTTTGATTCTAGTCAAGGGCAAGTACCTGGGTTGCAAGTTTGATGCCCAGTCAGGGCGTGTGCAGGAGGCAACCAATCAATGTGACTTTTTTTTTTTTTTAATATATCTTTATTGATTTCAGAGAGAGGAAAGGAGAGGGGGAGAGACAGAAACATCAATGATGAGAGAGTCATTGGTCAGCTGCCTCCTGCAGGCCCCCGACTGGGGATCAGGCCCGCAACCCAAGCATGTGCCCTGACCAGGAATCGAACCCCGATCGCCTGGATCCTAGGTCGACGCTCAACCGCTGAGCCACACCCGGCCGGGCTCGATGTGTCTTGTGTCTCTCTCACAAGGGTTTTTTTTCTCTCTCTCTCTCCCTCCTTCCCTCTAAGATCAATAAAGAAATTTTAAAAATAAATGAATTTATTTTTTAAAAATGCTGCCTGTGCTACTTCTTAGGATAAAACACACCTGTACCCAGATGGTTAGGAGGCCTCAAGCCGATGACCCAGATCTGCTTCTCCGTGAAGACCCCACCTAGCCTGGAAGGACCTATTTCTGGGACAGGCCTCTGGATGGAGACATGGAAGCCAGCTGCACACCTGTGTCTGTCTCCCAAGTTCCAGGGCCTGGCAGCAACAGGTCACCCAGCTGGCTGGGATCTGAGCCTTAGCCATACCCCTGGACTAACTGCCCGGGTGGAACACAGCTTAGTGGCTTCCCTGAGAGTGCAGGAGACTCAGCTGTCCCCTGGGCCTGTGTCTGAGTTTGTCATCAGATAGCTAAGGAGCTCAGGCCCAGAAGTTAAGAGACCCAAAACCTGACTAAGGGCTAAGCTGAACCCATCCTGAGAAATGGAAGCAGCACTAAGCTTGGGGGCTCAGAGGGAGCAGGGAGACCCAGACAACAGCAGAACCAGTGAGTGTGGGGAGCCCCTCCCTGAGGCTGAGATTCTCCACTAGAATGACAGAGGCTGGACATGCTCGGGCTTTCACCATGAGACAAGTGACTCCTCAGCCAGAGCCCAGGCCACCTAGGGGGGCAGTAGCATGGGCATCATCCAGCTACCCCCAGGAGCCCATCTGGAGCCTACCTCCAGCTTGCGGGACACCAAGGTCAGGGCCGCGGGGTCCAAGTTGGAGGCAGCCAGCACCTCGTTGAGCTGTAGCTCCTTCTTCTCCACGGCAGCACCAAGGGCCTGCAGCTTGCGCTCCAGGATCAGGTTCTTGAAGCCCGTCTTCTGCTGCACCTCCAGGATGGCCGAAGTGAACTTTCCGTAGAGCTCATCCCGCTCCCGCTGCACCTGAGGAGACACCTCCCCTGGGCCATCTCTCTGGCAAGAAGCCCTCCCACTTCGGCCCTTGGTCCAGAACACACCTTTCACTGTGCCAGTAGAACCAGTGCCCACCCACGGCCAGGTGAGCCTGTAGTGTCTACATTGCCTGCACCCCCACTCTCTGCAACAGAATTAAAGGTGTGCAGCTGTACACACCTGTAAGGCAGAAGGAAAAACCAGCTGGATCCTCCTCTAGGAATGTATATCAGGAAGCAAGAGGCCACCTGGTTAGAAATGAACAGGCCACAGCGGGATCGTGCTGGCCTTGTCCTGGGTTTGGGCAGTGGGCTCGGAACAGATACGTTCCTGATCACCACACATGAAATCCAGGGCATCAAACTCTAGCAAGCAATGTTTGGGGGTGGGGGCCTCTTGGGGATTTACTCTCCATCAGCCCTAGATCCTGGAACCCCACGTGCTGTCATGTGCCCCACACAAGAGATCTGGAGCAGGGCCCTGGAGCCAACTGCCTGTCAATCAATAAAAGTGCTTTTTCATTTCCTAAGTCTGTTACTTTTAACTGTGCACTGTAAAACAACCAAGACGCTGTGGAAATGTGAAAAGTGAACACCCCTTTACCCCACCTCCAGAGGCCACCATGCCAACAACTGGTGACTCCTCCCTCAGGCTGCCGTAGCCTACAGGCCCCTCCGAGGTGCCTTCGAGGATGAGTGCAAATCTGAGGTGCTCATGGGTGTTCGCGCATGTCGGTGGGTGGCACCAGGCCATGGCACACCCTACACTAGCAAATAGCTCGCAAAGGTGGAAACACTCTGCCCTGGGCAGACCCTGGATACTGCAAGGAGAGGCCTCTCAGACTCGCTGGAAATCTCAGAAAAGCACACTCAATGAGACACTCTCCAATCACATCAGCAAAATTTGGAATTTGTGAGAGCTGGTGCAGGTGGGAAGTGGTCCCTTGACACTTTTGGTGAGATTATAACTAAGAACAGCCCTCTGGGAAGACTCTATCCAAAATCTGAATGCAAAATACCAGGTGGCCCAGTAATTCCGCCACTAGCACTGGCTTCCTAAAGAGACACTACAGTTGCACAAAGATGAGCTGTGACGGCAGAGGCTGGAGCAGGGGTGTCGCCGGGACCAGCTGCATGAGTGACAGCACTCGTGCGGGAGCGCAGCAGTGTCGAACGAGGCTGTGTGTGCAATCAGGAAGGCCTCACAGCAGACACCCCCCCATAAATGCACTGCATTGAGGGCAGGAAGTCACACCCCTGGACACATGTGAGGGGGCGGAGTCTGGAAGGAGACTCTGAAGCTGTTACCACTTGTGAGGACCAGCGCTGAGCAGCAGGGCAACCTCTGATTTTTACTTACACACTCAGGATTCCGTGACTTCTTTACAACGTGTATGTCATAGTTTAGTACTAGAAATTTGTACGTAGAGGAAAAAGATGCTGGCTGGACGGGCCAGGCTACTTCTATGTGTTTCAGAAGTGAACCTGAGGGGGCAGGTGGGCAAACTGCCCCAGGGAAGTGCTCTGTGGGAGACCCCCAGGCCTTCCACAGAACGTGCCACAGGCTGTGCCTCGAGAGCTGTGCAGAACGAGGACCAGTCTCGGCCAATAGTCCAAAAGGGCCCCTCCGCACCCGGCTCAGACTGCTGGCTGCTCACCTGGACAAACCGCTGCTCCAGCACCTCATGTTCCCACTGTAGGCTCTTGAGCTCTTTCTCAGTGACTTTCAGACGTGCCTTTGTGCACTGGAGAGAAATGAGGGGGTGGGGAACAGAAGGCACTCGGGGTTCAGGCATGCACACCATGGAGGCCTCCAGATGGCAAGGCCAGAAATAATCACCAGAAAGAACTGGCTCAAAGACACAGGCGGGTTGTGGGCACTCTTGTCTCCCAGGATACACACCAACTCTACATTTCCCCCTGGTCTCCAGTCAGAAAAGAGAGATTCAGACCTCTCCTGCCCTAAGGGCCAAGCCCTGCAGGGGCCTCAGGAGACATCTCACCGATGTCCTTTCTCTCCTGAGCTAAGGAGGAGCCAAGGAGGGAGGCGAGTGCAGGCAACACTCACAACCAGGATCTGCTTGTCCCTCTCATGGTCGCCCAGCCTCTTCTGCATCTCGCTCATCTCCTCCCGAGCCTTCTGCAGCGGGTCCGCCAGGCGCCGGTTCTGGGCGGACACCTCCAGCATCTCCTTCTCCAGGTGCTCCTCCTTCCTCCGCATGTCCTCCATCTGCTCCTGTGCACACAGGCCGGGCAAGGGAGTGCTCAGCAGGCACCACCAGGGCTGCGAGCTCGCCTGCCCAGAGATGGTCCTGCCGCTGCCACCTAGGCCTGTTTTATGTATACACACACACTGTTTTGCACAATTTTAACTTACTCTGAATTTTCTAGGAATGCAATTTCCATGAGATTATGCTTTGTTCAGGACACCCTGCAGGGCATTCTGCATTGTGGAAACTCCATCCCTGCCAGCACCTGAGTGACAATGACACCTGCCCATGCCACCATGCTGGGCTCCACCACAGTCCTGCCTGAGCCTTCACCCACCAGCACATGCACTGTCCTCTTCACTCCCCTGCCCCACGTTAGGGCAACAGCCTGTTTTCAACTATAGGTATAGAGAGGTTCCATTACCTGTGAATTTCAATCAAGGACAGTGAGGGGTTTTATCAAAAATATTTTTATAACGGGGTATTAGGTCTGTCGGGTGAGGAGCTGTGTCTGGGCCCCGCATGGCTCACGGCACCTTAAGGGAGTTGATGAGGGCCAGGTTGTTGAGGGTGATGTCGTTGTAGTAGTTCTTCATGTCCGCGAAGGCCTCCTCGTGCCGCTGCATCAGTGTGCCGATCTGGCCGTTCTTCCTCTCCTCCACTTCATGGATCTCGGTCTTTCTCCTCAGGTCAAGCTCATCCCTAAGCATCTTCATCTTTTTATCATACTTGGCCTCAATTTCTGAAAGGCAGCAGCACACACAGCAGCTTATCAGAGAACAGCCCGTAGGACCAGGCTGCACAAACACATCTGCCAGAGAACAGGGCGGGTTTTGGTGAGTTTTTCTGCTAACGCTCAGGGGACACGTTCAGCACACACCATGTCTACTGTCCTTACCTGTGGCAGCCACTGCTACTCAACCCCTGCAGGCGGCTCCCAACAGCTGAGCATCAGCCGGTCCCAGTGGTCACTAGCCATGACCCATGTGGCCATCCAGTCACAGCACAGGGCTTTGTGACTGCACCAGACACACCAGGAGCCATGGCAAAGACTATTCTAAGAGCATTGCCTGAGAGACTCAGTGACTACCGCTGCTCCTAGCCACTGATTTGTGCCAGGAGTGGGGAAGTGAGCAGTGACCACAGCCTCCCCCAGCTGACATGAAAATAATCTGTTCTGGGATTCTGAGAGGTCCATCAGCCTTGAAAACTACCAAATTCTCTCTTCTCACATATCAGGGCTGTTTTGACTTGGTTTATTAGCCCTGTGATAATAAGCCCTGAAGACATGTTACTTTTTTTTATGTCTTTATTGATTTTAGAGAGAAGAAGGGAGAGGGAGAGGGAGAAAAAGATAGAAATGAGTCATTGATTGGCTGCCTCCTGCATACCCCCGACTGGGGATTGAGCCCACAACCTGGGTATGTGCCCTGACCGGGAATTGAACCACAATCTCCTGGATCCTAAGTCGATGCTCAACCGCTGAGCCACGCAGGGCTGGGCGGTAAGTTACTTTCTGATGGGGCTCCAATAGACAGTGAGACACTCACCTCGCACTTGCCTCTCAAAGTCGTTCCGCATCTTGGTAATCTCCTCAGTGTGTTTCTGCAAAGGCAGAAGCAGGCTGTTACCTGATGACAGGCAGAGAAGCCACTTGCTCAGCTGTCCTGCACCTCCCTGTCACAGAAAATCCGGCTCGCAAAACTTCTGCTGCTTCTGGCGGGTCCCTCATCTCCCAGCTTGCAGGCCATGCCCACAATAACATGGTTTTGATGACTTCCACATTTCGTAACTCACTCCCCTTGGCTAAAGTCAGCTCTGAGCTTGAGAAAATGTTAACAGACATTCTAAGCACTGACCGCACCCAGCCCCTTGCCTGACCTACTTGTGGTATGAAAAGTCGTGGCTACATCTACACAGACCTGCAGGCTCCTCCAGGTGCCTGCTCACCTACTCTAGCTGTAGCTTAGAGCAACATTAAAACATATTTCAATAGGTGGTTATTATATAAAAATTCAGAATAAAAAATGTTATTTTTATAGCAGTATTTTTACACAAGAGAACTCTGACCACATAACTAATCCATATGCAGACCTTGGGCGAGCAGACAGCCTCACATCACTGAATTCATTGGAAACCAGCCTACTGTGTGCCTGTGTCAGGAAAGACCAGAGTGTTCTTGAGGGTCCAACATTTTAGTAACCTCAGACTTTGCTGTAAACTCTGTAGTTTTACAGAGTTTTTTCCAGATCCAGTTGAGGCCGGGCTGCCTTCACATGAGACAAATGTGTTGACAAAGTCTTCTCAACCTGCAGTCAGGAAGAACCTTTGAAAACCAGTCAGACACACTCTCCCTCCCAAATCCCCCACAGCCCCAACGCAGTCAGGACCAAAGTCCAGGCCTCCCCGTGGCTTCCAAGGCCAATGAGCTCTGACCCACTTGCTGACCTTCACGCTGGCTCATCCCCCATCTCCTCTCCTGGCCAGGTTCCTGCAGCCTGGCTCAGCCCTTACCACCTTTGCCCAAAGGTCACCTTCGTAGTGAGGCATTTCCAGAACCGCCCGTAGAAAATGCAACCTACTCTGAATCCCAGCACGCCCCTCCCGCTCCACCCGTCCTCACGGCCCAGGAGTGTGCACTGTGCGCATCTGACGCGTTGTTTTGTCTTTTTTACGTGTAGCTTCTCCTTTGCCGGCCACACGTGCAAATGCATTTTGCCAGTCCTCCTCCTGTCAGAACAGGGCCTAGCACCTCACAGCCCTCAGCAAACAAAGTCAACCTCCACCTGGGACTCCCCCCGCTGGCCTCCCTCAGAATGGGCCAAAAGCTCTCAGAAGCCAGGCAGGCGCTCGTGAGCCCAGCTTGCATGACAACCTGCCACGGTGGCCTACGGATTGGCGTGCTGGACTCTCTAACGGTGTGTATTTCCAAATGCACCTGACATACATCCTGGGAGAGTAGCTGGGTGTCAGGTATCAGTAGCACATGCACAGGAGCGTCCTAAGCTGATTTTCCTCATGTCCGAGATAGAATTCTGAACTTGGCTCCAAAATGGGTCTGCTTGGCTGCATGTTTTTAAAAAAATAGTTCAGCCCTGGCTGGTGTGACTCAGCAGTTAGAGTATCAGCCCATGTACCAAAAGGTACATGGTACCTGGATTGCAAGCTTGATCTCCAGCCCAGGTCCATACACGTGAGGGAGGCAACTAATCGATGTGTCTTTATCACATCAGTGTTTCTCTCTCTCTGCCCCTCTCCCTTGCACGCTCTCTGAAAAAGCAATGAAAAAAACATCCTCAGGTGAGGATTAACAAAAAAATAAAAAATAAATATTTAATTGCCAAAATACGGGAATTTTTAAACAAAAATGTGAATTCTCAGTTGCTGTTCAACACCCAGCAGCCAGCTGATGTACCCACCAGCCGCAGGTTCTTCACCACCACCTCATTCGCCAGCTCCTGCTCCTTGAGCTCCACCTTCAGTGCCCGCATGTCCTTGCGCAGCGTGCCCTCCTGTGTGCGGTGCTCCTTCTGGGCCAGCTTCATGGCCACAGTGCCTTCAGCCTTCATCTCCGTCAGGTTGTTCTGGTGCTCGTACAGGAGGTGCTTCACCTTCTGCTTGTAGACCTGCGGGCAAGAGAAGCACCATCTGCTCACTGGCATACACACACACGCACACCTGCTCACCCACTCACCTGCAAATGCATGCTTACCTGCTCACACACACCTGCACACACATGCTCACCCACTCTCATCCATATAATGCTCACCTACACACACACACACTCCTGCACACACATGTTCACCTATATGCATATAATTTTTTTTTAATGTTTTTTATTGATTTTAGAGAGAGAGGAAGGGAGCAGGATATAAAGAGAGAAACATCTATGGGCTATCTCTTGCATGCCCCCTACTCGGGATCAAGCCCACAACCCGGGCATGTGCCCTGACCAGGAATCGAACTGGTGACCTCTTGATTCATGGGTTGACATTCAACCACTGAACCACACCGGTTGGGCTCACATATAATCTTTTATAATACCTTCAGGTTCCCAGTGTAAAGGACACAAACAAAGGGCTGTGACCCCAAAGCAAGGAGAGAAAACGTCCCTCACCCCGCTCGGCATCTCGGCAGTGAGCCCAGTGGGGCAGGTGGCCGGTCCAACTCACCTTGATCTCCACCTGGTGCCTCTCCTCGGCTTCCTCCATCTCCCGGTCTTTGTTCCGCAGCTCAGCCTTCTTCTCCTCCAGCTGCCTCCGAGTGATCTCCCAGAAGGTGTGGATCTTGTCCCGCTCCAGCTGGAAGTAGTTGCGCTCTTCCCGCTCTCGGTCCAGCTCCTCCCGGATGCGGGTGATGTGCCCCTCCACCTGTAGGCAGAGCAGAGCCTGCAAGGAACCCAGCAGGGCCCACCCACCTGAGGGGAGCATGGGAGAAGGGCAAGCAAGAGGGAGGGTCCACTCTCATCCATAAGAGCTGAAAGTAAGGAAATAAAACAGTACATCTGACTAGGGCATCCACAGAAGACATCTTCAAGTCACGGATATTTAGTGTCACTCTGGTAGTCTACCCCAGGCTCCTATCTACTAGGACTGTCTCACGTGATTAGATTTTGCCATCACTCAATACATGGATTTCTTATAAACATGCAGATTTCTAATTTCTCTTAAAAATAAGAAAATAGACAGCCCTGGAGCCCAATGCCCACAGGGTAACTGTCCAGCTGCCTATCCCTCACTCCTGCTTGAACCCTGTGACCCTGGGCCCTGGGCACTTCCAAGGCGTCCATGCCTCTGCAAACCGACCACTGCAGGTCAGTGCTGTCTCCACAGGGAACAGAAGTAAACAGGGAGGTAAGAAATAGCTCAACTGTTGAGGCGATGCAGTATGCAACTCAGTGATCTCTCCAGAACACAGACTAGACCCCACCACCCTCTGCTTAAACTGTTAATGGTTTCCCTGCACGTACAGTCCTCACTTAACATCATGGACAGGTTCTGAAGCTTTAAGAGAAACAATTGTAAGGAAACCAGTTTCACCACTGGCTAACTGACACAATAGGAGTTAAGCTCCTCTGGCATCTAATCAACATTATAACAGTTCAAGGACCTGCTATAAAATAAATCCACTCTTAGCATCAAGGGCCCTTGCTCAACATCCAGCTTCAGTTCACATGACTCTGTCAGTCTGCTTTGTATTTATTTTTTATCTTAAAACTCTCCAAGGAGCCCAGCTGGTGTGGCGTGGCGGCTGAGCCTCGACCCAGGAACCAAGAGGTCCCCGGCTTGGCTCCTGGTCAGAGCACATGCTCAGGCTGCAAGCTCGATCCCCAGTGGGGGTGTGCAAGAGGCAGCCCACTGATGGTTCCCTCTCATTGTTTCTCTCTCTCCCTCTCCCTTCCTCTCTAAAATCAATAAAAACGTATTATTAAAAACCATCCAAAGGAAGTAAGGGTCATGACAGTAGCACCCGCTGACAGGGAGCCCGAGGCCCGCAGGAGGTGCACCCAGGAATGCGTTAGAGCACGAGGCTGGAGAGGCACAGTGCACCCTCACGACATGCCATGTGCTATAGTTTCCAGGAGCCTTTGAATTAAAATTGTAATTATTCAAATATGTGCTCTAGCCCCTGCCTTCATCAGCATGGACAAGTGGCTTAAAATAATCCCTAACGTTTAATGGTAAACAAGAACACTCTAACGCATGTGCTGTGAACAGCTCTGTAAGCATCAGGTGAATAAGGGTAAGACTAAAAGGAAATATAAAAAATGAAAAATGGCTTTTATGTCAGAAAAAAGCATTTCCTCCCAAAGTCCTACCACCCTATAAAAAAATTCTTCAATACTGTACTTGAGAGCTTGGGAGCTGACGGGGAGTATGGAGACGGGCGGAAATGCGGGTTTGGACGGAACTGCAGGCGGCCTGGGGAGGGCAGGATGAGCACCCACCGCGGGGAGAGGGGCTGGAAGGGCACCCGCCCCCCGACTGCACCAGCCGGCTCACCTGCTCCTTGCTCATGTCCTCCGGAGCAAGCCCATCAACAATCGGGGTGGCTTTGCCTTTCCCTTTCTTTTTGGGTGCCTTCGGTTAAGGAAGAGACGCCTGGGTCAGGAAGGGAGGCTCTGGTAACGGCTTCACCCGCGGGGGGCACCGGGAGCGGAGCAGCGGCCCTGGGGCTTCTCTCCTGCTGGCCCCCACCCTAAGGCGCCCCGCCCTTGACGGCACTCCTTCTCTGCGGACCCCTCTGCAGAGAAGGGGACACCTTCCCTTCAGAAGAGAACATTTCCTCCCTCAGGAAGTAAGGGAGGGGCGACTGACCAAATCCCCGCCTGGGCGCCCGGCAGAGGCGGCCGCGGTGTGGGCGCAAAACCCACTCGGCTCAGGAGAAAGCAGCCCAATACCAGCGTCAAGTGTCACCGTGTCGCCATGACGTTTGGTGACCGCCACAGAGAAACCTGCGGAGCGCCGTTCAGTACGTGTTGGGGAAATGCCTGCAGGCAACAATCAGAGCCGGCGGCCCAAAACTCCTCCAGGGCTCCGCCGGCGCCAGCGCTGCTCCGGTCCCCAACTCGCAGCTGCCCGAGGGGAGGGCGGCGGCCAGCGGCCCAGGCCCAACCCTCCCCGGCCGCACTTCCCTCAGCCGTCTGTGGCCCACGCGGTGCGTCCACGTGTCCGTGGCCCACAGGGTGCGTCCACATGTGTCTGTGGCCCAGGTGGTGTGTCCACATGTGCCTGTGGCCCAAGTGATGTGTCTGTGGCCCACGTGGTGTGTCCACATGTGTCTGTGGCCCAGGCGATGCGTCCACATGTGCCTGTGGCCCAAGTGATGTGTCTGTGGCCCAGGCGGTGCGTCCACGTGTGTCTGTGGCCCAAGTGATGTGTCTGTGGCCCACGTGGTGCGTCCACATGTGTCTGTAGCATTTTTTGTGTGTCCACATGTCTCTGCAACGTTTTTGTGTCTACATGTCTTTGTAACGTTTTTATAACAAAAAAAAATTCTGTGGAAGTCAGAAAACACAGAGAAGCAGAAAGAAATAAGGAAAATCGTCCATATCCCTCACGCTAGGAGTAGGTGGAAGCACTCTGGTGCCGTTACCCAGCTGATACTCAAACCCCGTCCACTGAAATCTTCGCCCCTAAAGCGCCACTTAACGCCTCCTCCAGAGTCCGCCCCTCCGCCCCTCACCCCTGGGCGCCGGGCAGTCACCGCGCCGCGGGGGCCCCGCGCGCCCGGAAACGGAGCCACCGCACCT